CTCCCGACCTCAGGTGATCCGCCCACCTTGCCCTCCCAAAGTGCTGGATTTACAGGCATGAGCCACCATGCCCAGCTAACCATTTTCTTATGTTTAAGATTTATATCGTTTTTGAATGTTTGCTCTTTGTACATAAATTTTTATCTGTACCTCTAATCATTTCCTTAGGATAGATTCTTAGAAGACAGTTTCCAAATCGCAAGATCTGAGAATATTAGCAGTCTTAAGGCATATTACCTTTATTACTTAAATGTCTTCTGTCTTTGGTATAACTCTTGGAATTTCCCTCAGGGGGATAGGATAGGAAGTTGTGAATTATGTTGAGGTATTTTGGTTAATGTTATAATTAAGCACTTGGGGCAAGACCCAAAGTATGGCTGCCCCTAAATCCCCTGGCCTGATAATATTTAGTTAAAGGCCTTCTACTTTGTGCTTTTGTTCATTCTGGTTGGCCCAGAACCTCTGTATTCTTCCAGCAGCCCTGGTCCAGATTGAGCCACTTAGTAAGAATTTGTAACTTAACTCCTTCAAAATCCTTAGGAAGGGAGGGGCATAGATCAAGCACTATTGGGGTAAGGGCTGATGTAGGAAAGGAAAGGGATTGGGGTAAAAGAGGGGAGTAAAGGCCATTAAATGTTAGGAGCTCTCTACTGGGACTATTACATAAGAGGCTTCCTTCTTCCTTATTTTGTTTCATCATTGAGAGAAATCCTCAGTCAGGTCTATCTGACATCCTAGGAAAATTCAGTTCATGTCCAGGAAGGTGTTAAGTCATTTTCCTGTTTATCTTTTTTAAGAACTAGTAGAAGCCATCTCACAGCATCACATTGATGAGCTACCACCACCATCTCAGGAGCTACTTGATGAAATTGGTAAGAGATGTTCAATACAGAATATACTTCTTGGCCCTGTTAGTTTCTTCACTGACCACAATATGGTGTCTTTGTCTCAAGTATGAACACTAGTATAAAAGGCCCTGTGAAGGCCTGGTTGAATATAGGAAGAAGGGGCAGTTTTCCAATAAAATGAGCCACAGCCTGACCAGGATGATTGGCTTGTATCAGTTGTCATTTTGTTATGTAAAGGACTTATGTTAATGAATCTAAGAGGAAATAACATACAAGTGGTTTATTGTGATGAATTTCTTTTATGAAAGGAAGTTCTTATCTGCTTTCAGAACAAACCAGCCATTCCTTGGAGGCCTGAGGTCCAGCTGCCCAGGCCAAGACACCTGTACTTTCAGTTTGCCATTAGCTGTAGGTATTAAAGGTATTGGAATTGTGAATAAATCCCCTTTCTAAAAACAGGGAAGTCAGTGGCACAAAACCTAATAAGACTAGAATTTGCAGGCAGAGACTGAGCAGTACTAAACAAATTTTATTTGCAGCTGATTGACTGACCCTGTCCAGCTGGTCTGATGCTGAAAGTAAATGTTACACGGTTATGGAAACACTGGGGGGCAGGTGCACTGTTTCACTAGGAAAGATCTGACTGCTCTTTTCTTGACAGCCTGGCCAACCAGCCCCTCACCCTCGGAGAATGCATCTAATCAGAAGGTTGTTGTGAAGATTAATTGTGAACATTAATTTTGAATTAATGTATGCAAGTGCTTAGAAACAGAACCTGACACCTAGGGTTCTGCAAGTGTTATGTATGATTATCATCATTTCTATTTTGAGTGTTGTGTGGGATTTTGTCATACTTGAAGAATTCCTTTCAAACCTGGAATGCCCTAAAGCAGTGGTTCTCAAATTTTAGCAGGCATCAGAATCACCTGAAGGGCTAGTTAAAACACACATTGCTAGACCCCCAGAGTTTCTGATTAAGTAGGTCTGAGATGAGGCCTGAGAATTTGCATTCCCAACAAGTTCCCAGGTTATGTTAATGCGGCTAGTCCAAGCATCACCCTTCGAGAACCACTGCTCTAGAGAACAGCAGGACATCCAAAGGAGGAAATAAGTTTCCTTTGGCTTTTGTGTTGTGACAGAGCTCTTGAAGCAGCAGCAGAGCTCATCCACAGTGTCGCATGAGAACACAGCAAGCGATGCAGGAGTCACTGCAAATGGTAAGTGAACTACCTAGATCTTTTTCATCATGTTATGGTAATGCTGTTCTTGGCAACACAGTGCTACATATAGGGAAGTGTGACCTTGAGGTCAGGCACAACTCCACCTCAATTCTGACTTTATAGTTATTTGTATGACAAGCTGTTTTACTCTTTCTGAGCCTTAGTCGTCTTAATCTGTAAAATGGGGATAATAAGTTCTATCTCATGAAGTACGTATTAGCTCCATGTACAGAGCCATGTACAAGTACTAACATTTTCAAATATTAGCAAATGTTAGTCCTCTTCCCTTTATAGGACTGCTGGCCGGATGGAATGAGATAGCATATGTAAAATGCTTGGCATACATTAAAGGATACATCCCTTCCCCACCCAAATTCCTTTCTTGGAGCTCCAACTTAGAAACTTCTAACAAGTGAGAACAAGATGGTCCCCAAAGTAAATTTGTGCAATTTGTTTTCATGGTTGCTTACTTCCTCTTTTATGTGCCCTTTCTTTCTTCTGCCTCCTCTGTCTCCTTTGAGCCTTGGCACAAGCAAGGTTTCCTGTAGCTTCACCTGGCACTGAAAATCTCCCAAGACCCCAGAAGCAGCTGCTGCAAATACAGGTGGCCTGCAGACTGCCACCTGGCCCTCTGCTTTCATGGGAAGAGGAGAGCTAATGTGTTGCATACTTCAGGGACCACTGATTGGCCTTAATTTTTGCACTCTATTTTAACGCAACTTTTCTCAAACTTTTTTTTGTTCTAATAAAGTTAATTCTTTCAACTGTTTTTAGATCAAAGGCACTTAGAAGAACAAGAAACTGACAGTAAAAAAGAAGATAGTGGTATGCCTTGGTCCAAAGAAGCTGAAGATCTAGGAGAGGACACAGAGAGGTAACAGTAAAAGCTGGATTTTGGAAAGGATTTTAAAAATTGCATTAGTTTATATAAGTTTTTTTCCTAATATTGACAAATAAGAAATGAAAAAAGTGGTCTTTTTCCATACTACCTAACAGCCCCTATTCCTAAAGCGTTACTTTTTAAAAACGGATTGCTTTTTTTGCTTTAAAAAATGTTTGTGATAAAATATATATAACAAGATTTATCATCTTAACCATTTTTAAGTGTACAGTCCAATAACATTAATAAGTATATTCACATTGTTGTGACTAATGTCCCAAACCTTTTCATCTTGCAAAACTGAAACTCTATACCCATTTAAAAACTCCCCATTTTCGGTTGGGCGCCGTGGCTCACACCTGTAATCCCAGCACTTTGGGAGGCCAAGCTGGGTGGATCACCTGAGATTGGGAGTTCAAGACCAGCCTGACCAACATGGAGAAACCCCGTCTTTACTAAAAATACAAAATTAGCCAGGCGTGGTGGCACATGGCTGTAATCGCAGCTACTCAGGAGACTGAGGCAAGAGAATCACTTGAACCCGGGGCGGCGGAGGTTGCAATGAGCTGAGATCGTGCCATTGCACTCCAGCCTGGGCAACAAAGCAAAACTCTGCCTCCAAATAAAGAAACAAAGAACCCAACTCCCCATTTTCGTTTCTTCCCAGACCCTGGGAACCACCATTTTACTTTTTGTTTCTATGAGTTTGACTACTGTTGATACTTTACATAAAGTGAAATCATACAGTATTTTTCTTTTTGTGACTGGCTTATTTTAGCATAATGTCCTCAGAGTTCATCCATGCTGTAGCATGTGTCAGCGTTTCCTTCCTTTTTAAGACTGAATAATACTCTGTGGTATGTATATACCATGTCTCATTTATCCATTCATCTGTTGATGGACATTTAGGTTGCTTCCACCTTTTCTTACGGTGAAGAATTCTGCTGTGAACATGAGTGTACAAATATCTCTTTGAGGTCCTGCTTTCAATTCTTTTGGATATATACCCAGAAATGGTAGTGCTGGATCATATGGTATTCTATTTTTAATTTTTTGAGGAACTGCCACACTATTTCCATAGCAGCTGCCCCATTTTGCAGTCCCACCAATAGTGCACAAGCGTTTCAGTTTCTCCACGTTCTTGCTAACACTTGTTATTTTCTCTCTTTTTGTGGGGGTGGAGGCTTTTTTTTTTTTTTTT